AAATATTCCATGACTCTTATGTTGGAAAAATGCAGTCGGAGTGTTATGAACGCGTTGTATTCAAGAAATACATATACCGTCGATGTTTTTGCAAAACCGCCCATCGCCCTATTCAAAATCGCCTATCTTACGGCCCTCAAATTTTACGAGGGGAGCGAGAAAACGGGATTTCTTTGTAGGCATTGCTTTACAAATCTGTTGTTTTGATAACGATTCTATGATTTTTATGCATAAATCTTGATAACTGGAGTTCAGGGTTACCAAATTTCCTTTAGACAGTTTAGGCGGTTTTGCATAAACATCGACGATATGCAATTTTTTTGTGTTGCCATAATTTGTATATAGAATTGCTAATAGATAGGTACTTTATTTCTCAAAACAAAAAAGAATATAGTCAAATTGAATTTGGATAGTGATAAATAAAAATCGAATACAATTCTTCAGTTGTAAATCGGTTTAGTTACATAGATATTTATATCTTTACACTAAAACAAGTAGCATACAATAGATCTATAACCAGCTTAACTCCCCATACATGTATGTAGGTATGTACGCATATATGTATGACTTTCGTATATTCATAAAAGCTTTCAAAGCAGCCTTATTTCAAGAGAAAATAAAATATATTTACTACACTACACTCAATGCAAAGTCGACTTTTCTAATTGAGCGCTATTATTTGATAACTACAGAGGCTGTTGCCTCTCCTGTCTGGTTTTATTGCCAATATTACGTAATATTTATTTAGTTGCCATTTTGCTTTCCCAACGACACGATTTGATTGTACCTACACATGTGATTGTAAGCCAACTTAACCTCTTATCCAAATCGCTTTTTTTTTGTTATTTCATTTTTCACTCGCCCGAACTCTACATTAATGCTATAGAAAAGTCATAGTAATACGCTGCTTAACGGTTTGAATTTCAAATTTCAAACTTTGAAATACTGACTTACTTACCAACTTTCCCCCATTAGAATAGACTAAACATTTAAAATGTAAAAAACTAACTCTAAAATTATTGCATCCTCAATGCCGGACGACTCGCCATGAAGTGTCGGTATGAGTTGATCATCCAAAGCATTCATATAAAGCGGAGGAAGTTTATTGCCACGTGTGCCAGCTTCATAGCAGACCTGCAGATAAGAAAATATGTAATTTATATTTATGTGTTTTATTACGTACAGTGCACATACATTTTCTTGATGAATTGTTGCACGTAAAGCTAGCTTCCGACTGCCACTTGCGACGAATAAATCAAGGAAGGGTACCAGTGCAACGCAAGCGCTACGCGCAATTTGTCCCGCCATGCGCGTGATATCCATAGAAGTGGCTGCTACAGCAGACTGTGCAGAGGCATACCACTCGTCATACTGTTGAAGAATAAGGGAAACGTCATTTCGATTATGCTAAGCTGGTAAAAAAAGAAGTGTAACACTCACCTTAAGTATATAAATGTCTGTGAGCCGTATAGCGTAATTAGCATTCGAATAGTTAAAACTATCATGTACGCGCATACTGCATATACCTTCCATAGATTTTTCATCGATAGGTGATTTCACGCTGTAATTTAGAAATGTGTAGATAAATATGAAATTTGTTTTTCTTTTTGGTAAATCAAACTCAAAAAATTTACCCAACATTAAAGTCGCGATCATTATCCACCCATTTTATGCTCACAACCTCAGTTTGTTGATCGTTGGCATCCACCGGACCGCATATTATTTCAACATCTTTTTGATTTTGCAGCGAATTACGTATTTCCTCCATTTTACTTGGCAATACTTGTACCATCAAACCATCTTCAACGATGCTACATTTTCCAGAAAGCCCGCTCGTGCTTTTCAAAGACTCATTCAATACAAAGAAACTCGCGGCAGTAACTTAAAAAATAAAATACAAATTATATTTTATTTACTTTTAAGTTAGTGTCATATGAGACTAAAAGCTATTGATGAGAATTGAAGTCGACATGATTTACTAAATACATTTTGATAGTTTGTTTTAACTAACTACCAAAATAAATTAAAAATCTGTTTGTTTCTATGAAATTGTAAGAAGGCAGCTACAACATACATAAATATAGTTTAACAAGTTCACGAAAAAGCCTGAAATTGTTCTCATATAAAACCTTAACCTCACCTCTGCGCGGTTTTCCTTGTATGTTGATAGCTTGTGTTGAATATGCATACATTTCAGTACCCATATCATTCACATTTTGCATGCATACCAAATGCCCATCCGCAGTTTTTGAAAAATTTCCACCAAACGCCAATATATGATCGCTGGCATTTTTTATTGCTTTAATAACGTCATCTTGACGATTGCGTGGTATCATTACCGTTGTCTGTCTATCTTCCATATGTATATACATTCCCTTGATGCAGGGCAGCGTATACGAATAATTTCGGAAATCCTGAAATGCATTTCGTACAAATAAAAAACTAACTCGTAGGAAAATCGTTTTACTTACCGCAAGGAAATTGATTATTGTCTGCGCTATTTCAGCATAAACCGATTCCCGATTACGTATAGAAATGTGTGGGCAGGGATAGTAGCGATACTGTGCGCCCAATCGCAACATTAAACGAAGTGGAAATACTTTGGCCCATGGCACCTCGTTGCGGTGAATGAGTATACCAATGAGAAAGGGTTGCTCTGGCAATAAAACATCCTGCAAACACTGAAAAGTAGCGCGTATAAATATGAAGCCGCCATAGTCGCGGGTGCCTAAAAAATTGCTCGATCGTGGACTGGTGTAAGACAATTCGGCGATTGGATTTCCCAACTCAGCATCGCGATATATTTCATAAAGATGCACAAATATATCCTTTGGTATTGGCATCACCTCATTGTCTTTACTTATGTCCGGCGGGGTGGATTGTGGCTCATATTCCAATAAAATGATGAGCTCATCATTGCCAACATGATGCAAGCCACATGTAGTAAAATTGATAACAGTACGATTCATGCAACATTTCACTGAAGAAAAGTAGTTGTATATATATATATTATGTAGTAATCATATTTAGAAATTTGTTTAGTTGCCCGTACTTACAATTCAATATTTTCACGTCAACGAATAAATTTTTTTCCAGTGCGAATCGGATTGTCTCGCTTTGTAAACGTGCCACGAGATCTTGGTTGTTAAGAACATCTTTGTATTCAAAATCACAGCTGTTTTCATCTTTGCGTACATATATTGGCGGCAAAGAGTTGTTGTCACCTGGCGGAATGAAGCAGCCATTTTCATCGCTACCAGATGGAGGTAAACGTTTTGACCGCATAGCTGAAACAGCATCTGGGACCTTACTGCTATTCGTGACGCTTTTCGATTTGCTCGCAGCTGATTTAGCGTGATCTATGAATAAAAAAAAATATTGAATTTAGCAATAAGAAGTACTTTCCTACTAACCATCTGCGCCGTCTTGAGCCGCTGATATTGTAGCCGCTGCAGCCAGTGGTGGTAAAGAACCGCGAAACAGCGACGCCACCAACCCAATTGTTGAGGCATCACTATTACTACCACTTGGTTGGGCACGCACAGGAGTCGGTGGTTTATTTACTGCACCGCTGCTATTTCGTGTCTTATCACCCTGTTGATGCGATCCACGACGCGCATGTTTCGCGTCAGCCCACTGATGTTCCATGCTGGCCAAATCGCTGCCGGGTGCAATGCCATCACTGAACATAACACTCTTTCTTTTGCGCCCTTTCTTGTTGCCATCCCCAGCGCCATTCGATGAATTCGACGAATAACTGCTACCTTCTTTCTTGAGTACACCCACTGGCACAATTACAGATGGTGGCTGTGTATTTTGCGTGCTCACCTGCCTGTAGGGCGGTATAGTGGAGCAGTACTCCATGGGATTGTTCGGATTGGGTGAGCGCACTTCGCCTGCTGTTGTGTTTGTTGCGGAATTTGTACTGACAGCTGCTGCTAAAACATCATCTTGCATATCAGTTGCCACCACCTCGCTTCCTATAGCGCCAGCGCCTTGTTGTCTTTGTGTAAGTATGAGAAAGCACTGCAAACAGACACGAGATTCGGCGGTGTTGCTGAGGAACTCCAACTTGAATTTTTGTGAACAACAAACGGAGCAGAGTACTTTACCACAAGCACGACAGTGGTGACGACGTTTAATCATTGTGAATTTGGCATGGCACTGCATGCATCCGGCAGCCATGTTATCTGGCACCCAAATAGGAGGCACTTTGCCTAAATTCGCATACGGATCACTATAGCCAGTTGCCTCAGCCACTTCACCATTGGTTGCAACAGCATCATCTGGTGTTATATTTGGCGCAGAATTGCAACTAACAGCACTTGGCGCATTCGACTCAGCATTTTCCGTTCCAAGTGTTGTATTTTGAGTCGACTGCGTGCCTGGAGGCGTTTGGCCGGCATTCTCATAAAGGTTAGATTGCAACATAGGCAAATTAAGTGATGTCGGACGTTGTGGCCGTTGCGCCGCTGAATCACTTTTAGCGTCTTCATCTGTGCTGCCGTCCTCTTCGTCTCCATTTTCAGCTGAAGCTTTTCGACGGTCCACTGTCGCATCTTCAATCTCATCTTCATCACTTATCCGATGTCCCCCGATCACGCCACCTTCCAGCGAACATTCTGAACCAGTGTATGATGATGCAACGGAATTGGATGATGGTAACATATCAGTGTCTGCCTGAGCTGCTTCTGTAGAATGTGCGCGTATTTCCGAAAATTCAACCGTCGATGCCTGGGAAAAACTGTCTGCATTTACGCAATCATTGCCGCTGTAGCTTTCCACACAGTCGAGTACATTTCTCCTCTCTGGGCTTGGCCTACGGTCGACGACTACAGCATTATTTAGTTTTGGAATTGCTGAAGCAACTGTCGATACACTTTCGAATGTTTTCGCGGCTGTTGTTGATGACAACGGAGGAGGTGGTGAGCCACATGCATTTGTAACATTTAGCTTAGACATAGCATCGAACTCACTGACATCATCTATGTCCATCTCTTGCAACATGCTGTCCAGCTCCGTATCCGAAATTTCGTCCATTGTTGAACCGAAGGTAATCGGTTGCTGCAACACTTTTATGGGTTCCTGTTTTTTTAGGGGCACAACAGCTTCGCAGTTTTTACCGGTGATATCCTCCTCATTTTTTACATTTGCTCGATCGCTTTTGTTTAAATCGAAGTTAAGCCGTAATTCCTGATAAAAGTTATAATATACCTTTAGCATATAGCATTTAATATTTAAATAATTTTTAACGTCGTATTACCTTATTCAACAGCTTGTTTTCCTGAGCTCCGTCAATCTGCTGACTTAAAAGTGAGTTACTTGTAGTCTCCGACAAATCTTCTAGCACATTTTGCAATACTGACGAGGCAGTCGGTAAGTTGAGTTGCGAGTTTCCGGTTGTCAATGATATGGACGATAAGCCTGCAGCTATATCTTCTAGCCCAGCTGTGCTTTCAGCTTGTGGCGCACTTACTGGATCCCGTTCTTCACCATCTGTCTCCAACCCGTCTTCGGTCATTGCCACCGCCTCCTCTTCATCATAATTTTCATCATCTGGACCCGCAGCGTACGGATGTACTGGCAAGAGTGCATCTCGATCTTCGCTTATTTCCTCAGGTGAAAGTGGTGCAGATTGTTCATCAGTAGTGGAAACGATTCCCGGTGATGGGCCTGATGAAAATGTTGACGAAGATGAAGTGGTTAATGAATCTGACGAAAGTGGACTGTTGTCAGCTGCTTCATTCATCTCATATCCAATTTTCCGTGTATGCTTAGAATTTTCAGTAAACTTGTGTAAATCATCACTGGCCTCTTCTTCATCCACGACATCTTCTTCGTATACATTATTGTGCGATCCAGTTATACTACTACCACTTTTGACATTCTCAACCGTTTCATTTTTCGTTGTTATTTGAGAAGTGTGAGTTGTTACTTGTTCATTTGGAGTCACAGCATCATCAAAACTACTCTTTTTTGTATTTCTATCTAATTCCGGTGTTGTGCTCACATTTTCAGGTATTAGCCGACACTCTTCGTCATAACGCTGCACTGGCGCCGATTCCAGCGACTCAACATTTTTCTGATAATCATCTAAACTGTTAAATACCTGGGAAACGCCTACAAACCCACTTTTGTGGGTTGTAGTATTTAAATTTCCTACTCTTGGATAATGGTTTGTAAGTTCTGCATTGTTTTTTGTTGTAGGCGCACTTGCAGCTGATATAGACCTGTTGTGTTCGTCTGCCGCCTCACGTAATTCTAAATTATCTAAAACTTGATCTATATCCACTAGATCCATTTTAGGGTTTTGTTCGATATTGCCATTTAATCTGGAAAATAAAATAAGAAGTGAAATTATTTGCCGACGAACTGTGCAAAAACATAAGAGAACAGTTTGGGCAAGTACATATGTTTCAAGCCTTTTCTATGATACCTCTATTAGTGACTTTTGGATTTATTTGGGTTTGTCTTAGCAAAGAATCGCATAAAAATTTGTACATAATCATTTGCTATTGTGTTAATTAGTTTTGCAAACCATGTACACATATGCGTATATATTTACATATGTATGACTGCACACACAGGGCGAGGAGACTACGCATACTTATGTATGTATCGGCACGGGCACCTAATCGGCCCAGAGACTAGCTCTCCGCATCCCCTTTCCCAAAACTTCATCAAAAACCCGAAAATAATATCAATAGGATTTCCAGATTTACCACTTCAAGATCCAGGAACCATAGTGCTCCTTATCTGCCTGAAAATCACTTACTTGCCTTTGTTTTTATTTTTTATCAGTTAGTTCGGTGCACTATCCCTTTTTAGTATGAATCATCTTCTGTGGGTTTTTATATTATTTACAAATTTTCCAGCTTAGGGCGAATTAGCAAACAATGCAAAATACAAAGACACCTTTGCAATTCGGACAAACCATAAACTATTCAGGTAATCCTTGGCCGGCTAATGCAGTTTTATTTAATTGTTTAATATGTAAGATGTTATTACCAATCACAAACCATCCAATTATTCAGCGTTATTTGATTGCAACCTGGCGAATATCGCTTAACAAAATATTTTCTACAATTTTACGTTTTCTAAACAAAAAAAGTTCCTGCAGATAAAACAGATAAATGACAGTTTTGTAACAGGGATGGAAAATTTCTTCCTAATTTTCGGAACCCATTATACCTTAAAGCAAACAAATGTACCTAAAAAGGGCATAAAGGTGAAGCTCCATGGAAGGTTTTACAGGAGTTGCGGCTTTCGAGCTTTCGGCTTTAAAAGCTTTTTAGGCGAGCAACTCCACAACAAACTTTTGGCGCGGGGAGATTACGATAACCAGGGCGACAAATTTTGACTACGCCATTGGAAAGCTGGGTTCCTCCAATTTTCAAATATACCCACTTTTAGGTTCCGGAGCCTTCTAGTTTTAAAGGTATTTAGTGTTAATTGATTTCTAAAAATATTAATATCTTATGAAGTACATAACCGATTAAAAAAATTAATGTGTAAAAAAGATAACTAATTTATGTTTACGTTTATGTACCTAATTTATTATATTTTTCATATAACCTTTTTTGAGAAAATTACGTGATTACAATCAAAAAAATTTACATTATTTAGAAAGTACAAGTTACTACCTTCAATTTGGTGTAAATATTTCATGATCTGCTTTTGAGGTTTAAGTATTAAGTGACAATAAAAAAAATTAAATGCATTTACAAGGAAGTGACAGCCTTACACCTATTGTAATGCATCCAAATAAGGCCCTTTCTTCTCCGGCAAACACATAAGTGGTATTAAAGAACTTAAATCTATAAATATAATATGTAAATAAATGCTGTACCGAATGAACTTCCAACAACTGTATCCACTATTCCATAACTGGTTTCGACTCTTTTATTTAAGCAACCTTGCGTACCATTTGCGAGAACAAGAACTGTCAAGTTATAGATACTAATTTGTCTGAGACTAGTAAACTCTGAAATATGTATCTAGATACTTTGTGCACCAAATTTAGTTCATGTTGTGTATATTAGTGATTTTTCGGTGATCTATTTAATACGCCATCAAATAAATAAGAAATGCCAATCACCTACTAAATTTTTCTCTACTTAATTCTTCCAGTGTTCAATTATTAAGTAAACTAATTTACTTGACCACATATTTGTACCAAAAGCTGGATAAACGCTTGACCAGTTATGAACCAAACTGCAAGTGCAACTATCAATTTTGAATATATTTCAATGAATTTTCTTGGAGTTTAAAATGGAAATTAATCTCTCTTTATATGGATGGTCTGGATTAACAACTATAATGGGTATGAAAATTATGCATGAAATGAGACAGGTAACTATCTATAGGTGTCCAAGTAAGTGCAGATGTGGCGACTCGGACGAAATGTAAAACGTAGAAAGCAATAGACAGACATACTTAATACATACATAAATATGTACATACAAAAAAAAATCGAAAAATGAAGTTGCTGTGGTTTATGGAGTAATCGTCCCAATTCTCACTACTAAAATTATAAATAGAAATAAATCTATTTTATGAATAATGTTCTGGTGAAAGTCCTTCCGGCACAATGCACATAATGCTGTTAACGCTTATATGTTCGACAGCGTTTCTCCTTTGAAAATAATTATGGAATATCAAAATAAAAATGGCATCATTCATAGACTTGCTCAGGTGGCGTCTGAGGAGGGAATGTTGATTTCAACAGGCAGCTGAAGTAATCATTTTTTGCTTTAATGTTTATTTATAAACAAATATCTGGAATATTGTATTTTCCGCAGGTCCAGGGCGCATCTTAAACTATAGATGTGCTATCGTTTTGCACCTTTTCTATAAACAAATGAAACGACGCAACCAATTAAAAACGAAATACTAAACTCTACAAATACATACGTTTAGAATGTTTCCAAAGTATTGTAAATTGTATTTCCTATTTGCAAATATATTATGTAAATATCGAATCAGGTCTTCGCTCCCATAAAGTGTACAGTGTACACGAAAATATAAATGAAAAATTGAGTACATACTTGTGGTGCGGTTGCGGCTGCCGAAACAATTTAAACAACGCACACAATTGAATATAATCTCCTTACGACTTGTTAATAAACCTGCCAAATGTTGTGCGTATTTAAATCGCAGTACAATAGTTGCCAACTTTTTGTTTAGACCTGAAATCTCTTTACTGTTTACTTTGAGTTTCGTAAGTTTATATAAGTTATATAGACATTTCACATACCTATTAAGCATTAACTAAATCCGAGAGCTGCAAGCAGTAATGATATTTAGAAATAAATAGCAAATGGTGAATAATACCATTTCGTAATATAGAAAATATGCTCTTTGGTATCATCATAACTATCTACTAATGCTTTGCATACATTTTTTTTTTTTAATTTTCAAATGTATGTACTATTTACAGATTGCTAGTTACATGATGTTCGCCAACATGACATCAGTTGCAATGAAAAAATAAACAGCAGCGCTTTCTTGCAGTTTTAAATTTTAAATAAATCTGTAGTGATTGAAAATGGAAAGTCGTAAAAACAATAATCAGACTATAACGACATTGCAGCAGCAAAACCAGCATCACCATGCAGTCACTATCACCGCTGCTGCTCTCGGCAGTAACAGCAGCTGCGCGACTCCTGTTAGCTCAGAGCCGTCGCGTGGTGGATACTTTGAATACGCGCCTCCAACACCTGATACAGCAATCGACTATGATGACATTAGCAGCAACAAGAGCACACCTTATTACACACCAATGGAGTTTGTGCAGGGTACTTTCGAATTTCCTTCGCCAACAAAACTAGAGCACATGGAAGACATAGTCGAGTTGCATTGTCAATCTCCACAAGCGGTTGAGCAAGCAGATATGACTCTGCAACGCAAAATTCCTACACCATCCCATACGGCTACTTCGCGTTCATTAGCTAGTGCTAGACAGCAATTGTCCAGCAGTAGTTCGCCGGTAGTGTCTCGTAAATTAAGGCGATTTTCACTTTACGAACGACGCTCCTGTTCGCCACAACAGCTGCTGATAAAAAATGTTGTCTCTGCTTCGATGGACAGCAGTACGGAAAATGTGGCCGCCATGGCAGATAAAGAAAATGCTAAACCATGTTATAGGCCAGCCATGTCCGAAAGCTGGAGAGACACACAAATACGCTCGAATAGTGGCAATAGTTCACCGATCACGCTGAGGGAGGCTGACGCAGTTTCACCAAAGATTTTTGATATAAATTTAGCTGGTGGCAGCAGTAGCGGTACTCGCCTACCCTGTTCCCCAAAATTATTGGCATCATTAAATAATCTGAACTTAACTGGATCGCCACTGGGTGTCATTAGCTCAGCGGGATATAAAAATGGTAATTACTTTAAATTTCCAGAGATCGATCAGGTTGTTCGTGAGCAATCTGGGACGGAGCCTCAAACCGACGAAACCGGCGCTAATGTATGTGACAATCAACAAACTCGCTACAGCAGACAACGCAGCAGTGGGGCTATCAATGAACATAAAAAATCAGTTATTTATAGTGGTAGTAATTCAAACACCAATAAGGACAAATCGCGCACCGACGAATGCGTAGCCGGGGTATCAGCAGAACCAAGTGCAATAAGCTCAACCACAGTTGACACTAAAAAGAATCGCAAAAATAAAAATAATTTGACTATAAAAATTACAAATGTCCCCTGTAGTATGATGGAACCAAGCGGGACTGCACCCACCTCGCCTTCACCTACGCCAAAGCCGAAAACACCTACCATTAAAAGTACCAAAGAAAAAGCACTGTCACTTGATTCGGCCGCAAGAGAGTCTGAACTTACTATTATCGTCTCGTCCAGCGGGCGAAGTGATTCGCATGCAAGTTGTGACGAGATTGACGCGCAAACGCTTCGGCGCAGTTGTCTTCCGCTTCAACAATTTATGCCACGTAGTGTCAGTGGTGCTCGCTTCGAGCGTTTTGCAGCAGATCGGTGTCTGCGCCTTCCATCGGCTGCCGCCAGTAACCGTTCAACTTCATTGTCACAGTTAGCAATGCTTGGTGATGGTACACTTACTGCACATGCTCATCTACAAGCCCAATCCCTATGTCCAAGCAGCACTACGTCCTCTTTAAAAACCCCGCTGAGTGGTAGTAGTTTCCCACGCACGCCTCGCCGGCGGCAACCAAGCGGGAGCTGCGCGAGCGGCAATGCATCTACCGAATGGTTGGCGGCCTACAACCGTAACCGTAACTCTGCAGAAACTTATGGTAGTGCCGCCACTAGGGAATCGGATTTATTTGAACATCCACAGTTTGAAGTCGATACGACGGTGGTGGTGCTGCAGGAGGAGATTGATGATGAAGCCCAGGCGGATAATAAAAACACACTACTTTGTGCACCTTATGCGCCTGGTACAGGGACACTGGCGTTCACACCACATCGCGGCATGCACAAACATAACGCTTTATTGCATGCTTCGAACACAAATTTAAAAACTTTGCCAGAATTCCTAACACTCGTTGAGTTTTCAACAACGACAGGTACATCTGGCGGGCATCAACCACACAAACAAAAATCTATGGAGCTGCCAAGCGCGACGATGCGTCCTAAGCCAGCTGGATCAGCGTCGTCAACCAATTTACTGCAGCGCCGCGGTTCCAATCACAGTTTGACACTGAATTTAAATGGCTCTTGCAGCAATTTACTCGGAAATTGTCGCAGTGGCTTAAGCGTTTCCAACTACAGCCTTGGCCCCGCTATTGGCAGCTCCGCAACAAACCTTAGCTCGAAATCAAGCTGTAACCTAGACTTGAGTGGCGCGCCTATCACCAATCAGCCGCATCCACAAGCTACAGCGACTCAAGGGGCAAAACAGAGCCTGTTCCGCCGACGGGGTTCCAATCAGAGTCTCACTCTTACAAGCCTAGCGGCAGCATCATGTGGCAATCTAAATTCCTATGCAAGCCAACACTCGCTGAACAAAGTTACGCGTACTACATCATTCATAACACCAACGCACAATACAGCAAGCAACGCTACACCAAAGAGGGGGCTATTGGAGCGTCGCGGTTCCAATCAAAGTTTGACGCTGAACATGGGCAGCTCTTTTGGCGGCATTGGCACCGAGCGAAATGCACACGCCCGCAGTAGCCTATACTTGGGCGACACTTGCGCTGAAGAAGCCGACATTAGTACGCTGCATTCGAAGCCGTCAGGTGCACCGCCCACTCCTCATCGACGGTTTTTCAGTAGCGAAAGTCTCAACCGCGGTTCAACGCCTTTTGCTGACTTGAATCAAGCGCATCGGCGGAATGCCAAACAAGTGTGCTTTGGCTCCGTATCCGATCTAAAACCGAGCGCTAGTATGTCTTTGGAATGTGGGGGTCCCAATGGCATTGGTACGAGCGTTGGTATTGGTAATCAGCCTTTACATGCCGAAGGGCGACGGGATAGTTTCAATTTCCAGGACAGCACTGTGTGCTCGTGTACAGGTGTGCGAAATATAATGACGCGCCCGTTGTCACCACAAAGTACCAGTGAAGAGTTCAAGATATATTTGGCCAATATACAGATGCTGCAAAACGCTTCCAATGCACTCAATCAGCTCGATCTTATAAAACTCAATTACATTTTCGATAACAGCTATGCGTCCAACAACAAAGGCTTGGCTGAGCAAGCGGTGCCCATGCTCAGCGTACGCTGCAATAAAGAAGCTGAGACACCGCCAGGCATGCATGTGACCACCTCCGAGGATTGTGAAGTAGCAGAACGCTATTTGGCTGCAGTACAGTCGGTACTGCCAGCGATACAGCCCGATGACGATGAGCAAAAGCGAATATTCTGCGACCTGCATAAAGAATTTTGGGATCTGCCATTGAATCATCAAGAAAAACCTATGGTATTCGGGTCGCAGGCAAAGAACCGATACAAAACTATTTTGCCAAATGAAAATTCGCGGGTGCTATTAGAGAAGGAGGGGAAACAATTGACCGAATTGGCCGAAGATATTCGTGATGAACACGCACAATTGGCTGACCATATATTACGACAGCTCAATATATCGGACGAAGTGCCCTATATTAATGCAAATTATATAAAGGTAAGGGATTTATATTTGTTTTATCTATAAAAACTAAAAATTAGTGTTTCTTCATTTAAGGGACCAGATTATACATCTAAATGTTACGTGGCCACTCAAGGGCCCTTGCCGAACACAATCTTTGAATTCTGGCTTATGGTGTACCAGAACACACGACGATATTTTCAAACCACCGATAACAAGGCGGGAACGCTTCAGTTTTATCAAAAAGTCATAATGCTCACGAATTTTGCCGAAAATAATCGACAAAAATGTGCCGTATATTTTCCGATCGAATTAAACGAAATATTTATAACGACAAGCTGGCATGAAGTCGTTGAACCTACTGCAGAGTTAGTGGACTTTTTCAACGCCTATTTGCTGCCGAATGAAACAACTCCGCCGCCCCTTCATTTGGCTGACGGCGGTACCGAGCCTGAATCACACATTGGAATCGACTACTACCAAGCAAAAGTAAGCGAAGAACTGCTACCGTTTCTGCCACAGTCGAAAGGCAATTATTTCGTTATAAAAAATATCGGTATTGTACGCAAGAATGGTTTCTCAATACGTAAATTCGTAATATTGTATTGCATCCATATTGGCGCGAATGCAGAAGAATGTAATGGTGGTACTCAATTGATTATCAATCGGCTATACTGCTATCACTACTGGTATCCCGACTGGCCTGACCACCGTTCGCCACGGGACATCAACACGCTACTTGACATCTGTCTACACATACTGAATCTCGGCAAATGCGAATCGGAATTTGATGCATTCGAAATGGACGATGACGACGATGACGTTATTAGCGTTCTTCAACCACAAAAAACTTCTCACGTGTCCGCACAAGCGGTAGACTTGTATCAACAAGATATATTCAATGCTATGCAGCCACTACCGGTCATTCATTGCTCTGCAGGAATCGGACGCACTGGATGCCTTACCGCAATATTAAATGCTGTGCGTCAGCTCCGTCAATCATTCGCCTATTCGCTAACAACAATGGCCGCTGAGGCGAGAAAAGAGCGGGACAGCAGCGCTGGTGTTGTTGGTGAATTAGCAGCACAAGCACTTTTGAGTCCAGTCGATTTTCAGTTGCCCGTTGAATTCGTGGCGCAAGCGCAGCGCGCAATTACCACAGCAAGCAGTGTAACCGACACTGATAGTAGTTTTACGCGGAATACGCTCTACTATGTTAACTACATACTAAGGCGACAGCAACAGCAGTTGCAGCAAGAGAAAAGCGAAAGCGTTGCGAATGAAAGCGAAATGGACGCAGATGCGGACGCTAAAACGGCTATAGAAGAGGGTGCGCCTGACAAGAAGTATACAGCGGATACGGCACGTGAAGGTGATACGTTAACGTGTCCGTTGCCAGCGCTTGGAGAACTACCCAAAATTCCTGACATTTTCGTAGACATTCTAGGCATTGTTTGTAATTTGCGTCTACAGCGTGGTGGAATGGTGCAAAACTCAGAGCAGTATGAATTGATTCATCGAGCCGCCTGCTTATATCTGAAGCGAACATTTGCGTTGAAGCGCTTCTAAGAAAAAAAAATACCCGCAAAATTATGAATTCAATTGCGTGTAGATTGGAAATGGCGCCAACAATAGCAACAACAACTCTAAATTAAGAGAAAGCCAGAAACTCAAAAGGTATTGGATGCAACACCAAATGCAGTACATATTTACGATGTGACGATTTTATTATTATCTAGATTTTTTTCATAAATATGAATGTGGTTGTTTTTGACCGAGAGTAGGTTATCAATTCGTCGGAATATTTTATTTTTATTTTTTTTTTATGTATGTTACCGCATAACTTTGGCCAACGTCAACCGATTTCAATAATTTTTTTTCGTCGGAAAGGTAGAGTGTCTCACAGGTGGTCCCATAATAATTTGGTTTAGCGCCTATCATTGGATCATACAAAAATTAACGGTATTCCAAAATTTTTATATAAGAATTGAAGTCGGTTGTGCTACTTGTTTTAGTTTGCTAACGTTTAAGATTTTGTTTTTATAATTCTATCATTAATTTTCGGGCTTAACCAATGCGAATTTTTAATCGCTTTTGTTTTGTGACAATATTAGGGAGCATATAACATTTTTATGTAATTCATTTACCACAAGTTCTTGTTGTAACATTTAGGCAGGTTCTACAATTCAATTCCAAGTGAATTTAGTTTAAATCTGCCTCATGTCCATTCCTTTTTGCTCAAGTGACAATTCATGACCGAATAAAAGTACATATGTAAATCCGGACCATACGTTCCCTCAATTTCTTTGAAGTATAGAAAGAAGAAATTTGACAAAATTTTGATACTAATTAGGTCACACTTCAATCATTTTTTATTCTAAGCTTCGAAGGGGCGCTGTCTTGAGCCTTTCACCCAATGTTTATTTTATTTTATTTTTTTTTTCAAAACATTGAAACGAACTTATGTATGTAATTCCACTTTTGTTGTGTTTTTTGTGCAATTTAAATATAAATACTATAAAATTTCGAATTCATTAAAAAACGCTTACATGTACTCCTACTAAGTCTATAAGAATTCTATATAAATGTACGCGAAATAAATTGCAGTTTGTAGGAGTGCGGCGCAACAAATATTTCAACAAACAAAAATTAAAAAGCGTAAATTAATAAGAACATTAAAAATCATAATTATTCTGTGTAATCCTTGCTAGATTAAATGTCTGTATGTATGAATTGTACGCATAGTAGCTAATTTAAGTGTATGAGTAAGTTGACCAGAAACTCGAAATAGCAAATAGTATTTTTTGCAATTTTCAATTTGCATATGTATGTATGTATATGTAATATATATGTATGTATTATTGTGTATGTGCATATGATTAAATATAAGTTTTTGTACGCGTTTCGTTTATACGCTTCACGACAAACAATACAAATTTAACTCGATTCGATTAAATCCAATTCGTGTCATGCAACTTTAAATATTTGTCAACAAAAACATTTCAATTAAAATCAAATAAATCCAATATACCTACATAATAAATTAATCAAAGCCAAATAACTTTAAACACTCAAACTTGCATTACAAAAATACATACATATTTTATTAAGAAAATGAAGAATGTTAATTTTTAATTTAGTCTCAAGTCTTTTCGAATAATAACCGATCGTACATTGAGCACTTCGGCAGCAAAATTCACTAGAATAACTCGTTTTATATATGTATGTATTCGGTTATTTGTCATAAATAATAATTTAAGTTTCCATATTTTTTATATTATATGTAAGCAAATTCTTTTATTTTTGTTAGTTTCTAAGCGAATGAACTAGTCAAATAAATGAAAAAGAAATAAATAACTAGAAAATATACTACTTGCCTCGGAAGTAAATAATTCCCCGCTACTTTTGGATCAAAGTTTTATCTCCACTTGAGGAGCAGGGGACGATTATTTCGGACGATTTTGAATTTTGGATGCTTGCTTTTGCGGTTATTAAATTTTTCCCCGTTTCAATCTAATATAGAGTGCGTTCAGAAATGCGTCACGCCAAAGCATCAGTCTCGTGTTATTTCTAAACTATAATTAATGAAAATGTCAAATATGCGCAACCACGGTTAAAATCCGAATTTGAACTTATTTGCGCAAATAAGACATTTCCATCAATAATAGTTTAGAAATAAAAGATACTGATGATTTGACTTGATGCATTTCTGAGCGCACCCATATGCATGTCATATTTACTTGCAATAACCGTTATTAATCGGGCCTAATCCCGCTGGCCTAAATTCACAATGAGATAATGATGTTTCTACACCGTTACTGGTGGCTATCACAGAATCCATCGTAGTCCGATTTTTCGTGAAATCTACGGAAGAGCGATCAATGAATCGGAATCGCCACGAGCTCGTGTATTCAAAGTATACGCTACGCTCGCAGCTATTCGAATTCCATGATTGCATTTTCGTAGAATTCACGAAAAATCGGATTACGTTGGATTTTGTGATAATCTTCATTTAAAAATGGAGAATACCGTTGTATTTCCGATAAATGTCGATATTGCCAACGCTGATGCTAAATTATCGTTTCTATTACGTTAATAACGTTATCAAAAGACAGCGTCAACAGGAATACACTCGAATATCCTTGTCAAGGATACGTCACCGGAACCACCCAGGATTTATACCTGGCCAAGTACTATCACTCCAACGTCACTCCCCAAAACCTCTTTGGGGAATGTGTATGTTACAACAACAACAACAAGAATATCCTCATCATGGCCATAATTGTAGTTTTTGATGTGATTGTTGTCGTCCTTTTATGTGATCGTTTTTGTAGCTGCAAGTTGCCTCCTAACCATTTAATGTTGTTTTTGTAGCAGCATACAAATTCCCCAAAGACTTTTTGGGGAGTGTTGCTGGAGTGACAGTCCTTGGCCAGATATAAATCTGGGTCGTTCCGGTTACGTAGACCCGACTGTCGTGGGAACGAACCATTTAATGTTTTGGGGTGCGCTTAAGTATGAACCTGTCCCGAGATTTTCCTTGTCGACTCGGCAAAATAAAACCGACAATCGTGAGATGGTGAATGTTTCGTCTTTTTTGTTGTTGTAGCTGCACTACTAAGCCTTGCACAAAACGGGTAACCCTACAATTATTGTCAAGCTCTACTAATGGTAGGCTTTGGAAACGTGGTATTCCGACAGGGTTGGATCAAAAGGAGGGGGTGTTAATGGGCAGTTGAAAAGGTGGTTAGTGTTGTGGAGGAAACCTTTCCAAGTCGGACATAAGTTTGGTATGTCGGGGTCGAGCCCGGATAATTATAAGTTCAGCCGAATGCGCTGTTCGCACGTTAATTGTGCCAGAGTTATGCGGGTATCTCGCCACAGCTGAAACTCTTCCTTCCAAGGCTCCAATAACAGCTTTCATGGGAAGAGAGTCTCTGAAGATGCTGACAGATTCTCCGCCGGGCCCAGTTTTTGCATCACGTGTGGATTTGTCTCAAGCAAGCGTCTTTTTGGATGCGCCTTGCAGTAGCAGCCAACCATAGACATTAAGTTGTGCTCCTTAACGTGGAGCATTGATGCCCCCTGCACAGGTGGTGTTCGGTCGACATCAGTCGGCTTTCTGGCAAGTCTGGTCCCCATACTCACGGTATATACCGTAATTACTCGAAGATTTCCCGACCTAGGGCTGTTGTACCAAGTACCAGGTAATAAGAAACAATCATTCGTAATACTCTTAGTATTCAATACAAAGACAGCGTTCCGTCGACGTCAAGTCAATCCAGTGCATATTAGAGAGCATAGGGCTGTGATCGGTTGGATACCCAAAGTCAAAAAATATAAAGAATTTTTGGTATGTGCTGGTGGTTTTCATCGAGTCCAACCGTAAGAAAGGTCTCAATTTCGGCTTGATCGAACCGAAAGAGAGCTATGTTAGACGAATTGGTTTTACGAAAAGAACTAAAAGCTCGCAAATATTCTCATAGACCTGCCTGCATTACATCTGAAGTTATAGAAAATAATTAGTAAGTTTTCAGGCTGAAACTTTAACAGAGAACAGAAACAGGAATGGAAATCTGGTCGCGTTTAGGAAGAGAAATATAAGTACATCATGTGTAGCGACGAACCACATACCCTTTCATACAAGGGGAGCAGAATCTTTCAGCAACCCTAAGGAAAAATGCAGCTCGAATACGAAAAAGGCCTCAGAGGTGGTGGAATACAAATTGAGCTGTTCAATGTCCAGGCTATAGAGCTCGCAGGGTGTGTTTACATGCCCGCCGATTGAAATCTTGATGTATCCAACGTAATCCACACAAGGGGATCCCCCCAAAACTCAAACGGTTGTATACAATAGCATGGAGCATGGCGCCTCCGCCCAAGTTTAGGACTAGTTTGGGTCCAATTTGGGGGTAGTTATGGTCCTGGTTAGGACGAGATAAGGCCAAGTTTGGGACCAGCTCAGATTTCGTTTGGGACCAATTCGTTATGGATTAGTTCAGGCTTAGTTCCGGACCAATTCACGCACAATTTGTCAGTTTCCGTTTTATCTGCTATATCGGAGATCACCGCATCTTCTCATCAGACTTCTTCAATCGCCGTCACTGACATATGAACCTGCGACCTCGGATTACAAAGATTTTCAAATTCAAATAGGCTTATCCGATTTTGTATCCTTTAGTGCAAAATAAAACAAAGTTATTCCACTATTATTGCCCGACGTTTCGCTAAACTCATTAGCATCCTTCGTGGTTGGTTGTATTATACCCGAGCGCACTTGTGCACAACTTTGGTCACATAACTAAGTTCTTTCGGAAGTACAGTACTTCTTTTTTCGCTCTTGTACTTCGTACTTCGTTCTTCGTACTTCGAAGTACAGTCAAATGTACTTCCTTGCGATATTTTGTACTTTGTGTCCACGTGCAGTTTTAGTTGTGACAAATATTTTATCTTACGATGGCTAAGAAACGCTTGGCTGATTTTAAGTTGGAGAAAATTTTGAAGTCAGTGACAAAATGATCATGACTCCGAAGTTGGTCATATGACTGAAGCAACTGAAGATGAGATTTCGGAAGAAAATGAAAATATATGTACATATAGAAGACAGGGAAGCCAACTTTTATGTTGGTAAAGATGGTAGCATTTGGAACAAATCTCCACCGCCTTTATCTAAAATAAGGTCAGCAAATAATCTTAAAGGAAAGGTAGATGCAGTTGTTTTATCTCCAGGTAAGTAACAACTATACTAACAAAGATAATCATAAATGGAATGTATTAATACAGGAGCAACTTTATTCGACGTACTGTATTGCTTCAAACTATTTATAAACGAAGAAGTTTGTGATGAAATCATAATTATGGTATACTAATGAAGAAGGATATGCAGTGTATTCCAAGTTGAAAAAAGTGTGGCAAGTGATAGACAAAGATGAGCTTTTTGCTTTTATCGCGTTTCGGTTCATAGCTGGTCATATGAAATCAAATAACCAAAGCTATATATTATTTTGGGACAAGCTGTACGGTATAACAATTTTCAAAGCCACTATGAATGCTAAACGTTTTTTTAAGAAATTTTAAGATGTTTACGTTTTGATAATAAGTCTACCCGTAGTATCCGACGTCAAACCGAGAAGTTGGCATCAATACGATCCATTTGGAATAAAGTGAATCACAACTTCGGAAAATATTATATGCCCACTGGAAATATTGTTGTCGACGAACAGTATTAGGTGCCCCTTTATTCAATACATGTCATCTAAGCCGCACAAATACGGAATAAAGATTTGGTGGTTGTGCGACAGTACTAATGCATATCTTCTTCGCGATATTCCATATACAGGTAAAGATGGTAATCAAAGGGCTGTTGGACTTGCCAAAAAAGTTGTTGAGGAACTTTGCGAACCGTAATGTAACAATGGACACTTATTTTACTAGCAAAGAATTAGCTGAAAGTCTGTTGAGTAAGGGTTTAACAGTGGTAGGTACACTACGGAAAAACAAAACCAGCATTCCACCAGAATTTTTGCCGAACAAGTCGCGTGAGAATAATTCTATAATGTTCGGTTTTCAAAAGTATTTAACGATTGCTTCGTATGTTCTAAAGCCAAGAAACTCAGTTACTTTCATGTCAACTATGCATCATGATGCCAACGTCTTTGAAGAACAAGGAAAACGGATTTCGGAGATCAATAAATTTTACAATAAAACCAAAGGGGGCGTGGACACATTCGATCAACTAATTCACGAATACTTGATCAAGCGCAAGTGTAATAGATGGCCTCTTGCCTTTTTCATGAATTTAGTTGATGCTGCTGGTATTGCTTCATATGTTATTTGGACAAAAAGTCATCCTCACTGGAACGAGAAAACAAATAATTAAAGATACTGGTTTTTGCCTGAATTAGGAGAGAGCCTTGTGGAGTTACAAACACAGAAAAGACAGTCGGCCAAATATATGCGATCATCAACACAAGCATCCATAAAAGCAGTATTACCATCACCTGTTGGTTCTCAACCATGTTCTTCTGGTACCTTAAAACGAAAACGCGGCCATCTTTGTCCCGCAAAAAAATCTAAACTGCAAAAACAAATTTGTAACAAATGCAGTCAAAATGTTTGTAATGTACATTCTACAACTACATAAATTTGTGAAAAATGTAATTCATAATTATTTCTCAACTGCTTTATGAACTAAAATTATCTTTTTTAATGCTATGTATTTACTTCAAAACTTTCTTAACAATTAAATAAGTGAAAAAAATGCGTTTGGATTCGTACTGTATCAATGAAAGTAAGAAGCAAACACTAAAATTATGCGTTTCAACCGTTTTCCACATATGAGCCTCAGAGTCTCACTTTAGGATCTGTGTAAATTTTTAAATTTAGGAGATTAGGGTTAAGTCGACTTAGGCGGTTATTGCTTATGACCACAGATATTTAGTATGCACTTTTAAAATACTTGTATGTAACTGTCAACAGTTAGCGTTTCGCATTCAATAACGAATAGTCTAATGGAGGGAATTTCCGATATATTTCCTCCCAGAATTCCATGCGGTCCCTATCAGGCTCCTGGCGCATGCTACATTTTCGATCAATGATGAAATAATCTAAATTTTTGCACTCTTTTTGTCCAGTTGATTTCTTTACAGGAGTCCACATAAAACCGAGTTCGTTTGCAATGTTACTGTTTTGTGGAGTTGGTTCCCCATAACGAGCAAAGTTGGCCCACATTTCACTGAGTCTTTTGGTGATTTGTGCGTCATCGTCTGCAAATGTGCTGAGATCATCATTTGGAGTTTGAAAGAGGTAGTGTAGTTCATCTGCATGACAAGCGCCACTGAATTGTTCAAAATTGAATAAACGTTTGTAAAAATCACGTCCGCCCGTGTAGTCGAAACGATAGACGTAGAGTGGGGCACCTGACCGATAGATCGCATGCATTTTTGTGGCAAAGTATATATCGACCAGAAAATGATAATCCGTTATTAAATTACATAAGCCTGGCAGATGCTCCTTAGTAATCCTCTGACCACCAAAAAAGAATTTACGAATTTGTTGTGCCAGTGCGCTTATTTCCGGATGATCGATAGATAGTGGGATGTTGCGAGGTACAAAACGTTCAAGGTCTTGATCGACCTTCTCGATTTGCTTAACAGAATGTTTTAATATAGTAAGGCCCTCAGCTGAATTGTAGCCGATTATTGTGGGTATGGCACACGTATCGTGCCTGCGCATTTGTTTCAAAACTGGCATGCTAATAAAGGCATCTGGACTATTCGTATCTTCCAGTACAGGCCGTAGTGGGAAAGGTGGACCGCGGCGTCGTTCATCGGGTAAAAGTAAAGATAGAGTCTTGCTTAAAACTGCCTCTGGAGTTACTTTTTCGGGAGACTGTAAGAACTCAAGCATTTCCTTTGGATCCGTTGATGAACAACCGAGCAATTCACATAAGCGACGTACTTTTACGCTTGGCTGACGTTGAAATACCCACTCTATGTTGGCGGTGCCACTTTGCATGATTACTTTATGGAACAATTTGCCTGCATGCGATGCAAATGTGTGCATGTGAATGCTTGTAGCACCAGCACTTTCCCCGAAAAGTGTTACATTATTGGGGTCACCATTGAAGCTTTTGATATTCTCATTTATCCACTGTAAAGCAAGGCGCTATGTTTATAGAGAAAGTCATAAAATTATCTTTTTATATGTCTTGTTGATGAAAGGTTTTTTACCTGATCTTTTAAACCAACATTTCCCCAAATTTCCGCCTCAGGCAGACACAAAAAACCCCAAGCACCTAAGCGATAATTTAATGTAACGACAATGACGCCCTCGTGCAAAAGACTAAGAGGCAGGTACCTAGAATGTATTGCAAATTGTAAAATAACTTACATACATACATATATACATATTCAAAGGTCATTTTTACAAAGCTGTATGCCATAAGATGAATATGATTATGGTACGTATGAGTTTTTCCTATTACAAATACTAACCTTATTTTTGTATTGGAAAACTGTGAGCTAATTTAACGAGTTTTAAATAGCTTTACCTTTGTAGGGTTGATAATTCTCTTATTTTGAATAGATCAGAAATTATCGCATTCACACAAATTACATACTTACTTATTACCAGTGTCTGCAATGAATCCACCGCCATGTATCCAGACCATAACTGGCATTGGCTCAGCGGCACATTTAGCTGGAACATATATATTGAGGTGAAGACAATCCTCTGACCCCACAGTTTTGCTTGTTGTTGCTTCCCTTTGGTGACAAGGGCCTCTTAAGTGTGTACAATCCAGCAGTGGTTGATCGAAGCGTTCTAATGGTACTGGTGACTAAGAAATTTCCGATAATTACTATTTAAAAATAGTACTTTATTACTGAAGACAATAATCTTCTACCTTGAATCGTAATTCCCCAATTGGTGGAACTGCATAGGGTACTCCTTGAAAGCAATAGTATTTGATCCCACTGGATAAGTGCTCCTCTCGTCCAGCAACAACACCTTGACGCACCGATCTTAGTATTTTTTGGCTACAGAATCTCAAGGAACTGCTTCGTATGCCCTTAGACCTAGACGTAAAACGGTTTAACATCTTTTTAATTAAGAAATTGCTGGACAACTAGTTTTTAGTGCTAGAAAGTGTGTGGTTTGTGAATGCGCAAAGTATCGCATTAATAATTCTTGCTTTTTAGTATTTATTAATTCACTTTACGCCAAACTAATTTACACATTCTATTTATTTCTATTTCCTTTTCGCATTTTGCTATCATTCTTATCAGCAGAAACTTCTCGCACTACTTTTTGTTTACAAACAAACACAACTAAACTTGATCGTTTCCCTTTTAATATGATTTTCATTTTAGTGGAGGGAAATAAAACAAAATCTTTGGGTGTGTTTGTTAAAGATTTACTTGCAACTTGCTCATGTCTTTTCGAAATGAACGAAGGAAGATTATGAATAAAATATGAACGGCTATTAACGGATATCCGGATGGCACAACTGAAGGATAGTAGCCGGATATCCGAACGGATAATACAAGAAGCCCTTGTATTTTTTAAGCAGAAAATAAGATGCAATATCCTTGATATTCTTTTTGTTTCATTCCAAACTAATTGATAAGATAAAGCTCAAACACAGGAATCAACCACAATCTTAAAGAATATTTCGCGAGCTTAGAGTGAAAAGTTACTAAGTCCACTTTTTATGAAAACTCATATTTTGATACAGGTTAGAGAAATTAAAATTGCTTTTTTTTAGGATAAAGATGCTTGTTTTATCTACACTCCTTTACATTCAATGAAAGAAAAATTGGCAAAGTCAAAAAGAAGCAGCAAAAGGTAGTACGAAATCTTTGCCGCTACAACAACAACAACAACGAAATCTTTGAATAAAGATCGAATCTCTCTGATTCGTGTAGAGTTTTCCTTTGACTTAAACAGCCAAATGTTGTATTAAATTTTTTGCGAAATACTTGAAGAAAGTAGCTATAACAAGTGTTTTTCCTCTCCTATAATACATTTAAAATGGGACTTATAAATGGGAAATATCAAAGAAGAATTTTTACAAGTTCTAAAAAGGATATATAATATCAAACAGAAATCTGTTTAATGCCATGAATATCAGTATATTACAAGTCCTTAAAAAGACACCTGAATGCATTCGTGGAAAGTATTCGGATTCGTTGTTTTCTATAGTGGATTCAATAATTGAGGCGTAAATAAATAATTACGAGAATCAAGGCAAGTATGTTAGTCCGTTTCTTTATTCAAATTAAATATTCCCTCGTATTATCTAATATGTACAAAAACTTACTATGAAATGAAAAAAGGATGAGTATTTTCACGTACTTAATTACCAATTAAATCCAATAGCATCTTTTGGTGAATGGTTTAGTTTTTAAAACAGCTTTAGTTAAATCCAATAGCATCTTTTGGTGAATGGTTTAGTTTTTAGAACAGCTTTAGTTAATCACAACTTTGCGCTGATCCGCGAGTAGTCCAACGGTGGGTAATTTCGATATATTTCATGCCAGAAATCCATACGATCCTTGTCGGGATCACGTTGCATTCTACATTCCCTATCAATAATGAAACAATCCAAACCAAAGTCCTCATCCTTATTTGGTCTCTTTAGCGGAGTCCAAATACAGCCCAACTCTTTGGTAAAAGGACTTTCTGGTGGAGTGGGCATATTATGACGCGCAAAGTTAGCCCAGAGTGCGCTAAGACGTTTAATGTTTTGCCTGTCGCATTCCTCAAATTTTCTGGGGTCAACACCTGGCGTTTGGAAAAGGTAATGTAATTCGTCTCCATGACAAGCGCCAGGTATCTGCTCCAACTGGAAAAATCGTTTATATAGATCCCGTCCACCACAATAATCATACCTATAAAAAAAGATGGGTGCGCGAGGCTGGTGTTCCAGCTGCAATTTCAAAGCCAGCTGCGTGTCCACCATGAAATGGTAGTCTGTCAATAAATTAGTCATGGCATCAAATTGCTCGTGCGTGATATTTTTACCATTAAAATAAAAGTCGCGTAACTTTTGTGCTAAATACTGTATATCATTGTGATCCGTATGCAGTGGAATGTTACGAGGTACAAAGCGAGACAAATCTTGATCTATATCCTCGATTTTACGTATGGCATTTATCAGCATCATAATGCCTTCAGCAGAATTGTAGCCCATTATAATTGGCATGGCCAGGGTATCTTTTTGTCGCATACGTTCCATTACTGGCATGCTGATAAATCTATCAGAACTGCTTTGATCTTCAACGACAGGTCCGAAAGGGAGGGGCAAGCCACGGCGACGTTCATCTGAAGAAAGCAGAGGCAACGTGTTAGCAAGAACATTCAGCGGGGTTACTTTTTCGTGCGATTGTAAGAAGTTTAGCATATCCCGTGAATCGCGTGATTGGCAGCCCAGCAATTCGCAAAGGCCACGCACTTTGTTTTGTGGATTTAGTTGGAAAACCCACTCCATATTAGCGGCGCCACTTTGCATAATCGCTTTATGAAAGAGTTTATTAGCATGGGGAGCCATTGTGTGCAAGTGAACAGATGCAGCGCCAGCGCTTTCACCGAACAAGGTAACATTATTAGGGTCGCCATTAAAGTGAGCGATGTTCTCGTGAATCCACTGCAGAGCTAGCCGCTAGTTAAACGAAAGTCATAAACCAAGATATGATGAGCATGGAATACAAATTTGAATATATGTGTACCTATGTATACTGTATTGTAGATTTACCTGATCCTTCAAACCGGCATTACCCCAAATACCCTCCTCGGGTAGGCATAAAAAACCCCAAGCACCTAAACGATAATTTAGTGTCACTACAATTACATCCTCACACATTAAACTTAACGGCAATATGCTGCAAGTAAAGATTTAAGATTATGTTAAATTTATTTTGCTGCTCTTTGTCAAAGTCGCCATATTCGTCTATATGGAATTCACTTGCTTTTTGCTCGAGCCAAAGAAAAATCCGCCGCCATGTAGCCACACCATAACTGGCAGTGGTCTGGCAGTGCGCTTTGCTGGTGCGTATACATTAAGGTGCAGGCAATCTTCTGTGCCTATAATATTATTTGTCATAGGATCTCGTTGATGGCATGGTTCCTTTTCCCGCGTACAATCTAGAGAGGGCGTATCAAAGCGTTCCAAAGGCACAGGTGACTGGAAAAATGTATACATTTTGTTTAAATATATTTAAGTAACTATTAGCCACTTACTCTAAAACGCAATTCACCAAGCGGAGGCACTGCATAGGGTACACCTTGAAAGCTATGATATGGTTCTCCGTTTGGCAGAAGCCCCTCTCGTCCAACCACAACACCTTGACGTACTTGTACTTTGACCGATGATGATGCCTGTAAAGAATTAGTATAAATAAGTTAAACTAAGTACAGCTGACTAGTTATTAATATGTACCATTCTACTTAAATATCGTAAAGCACTGTTTTGTAGACGTCTGGCATTGAAAGGGGAAAATCTCGACAACATTGTGCAAAAACTACAAACCGGATACAGAAACAGAAGACAAAGCGCGAAGTCCACCAAGGTCTGCCCCGTAAGTTTACTTGATCATAGACCTACAACATTTATACGTTGATATGCTTATGCGTTATTCCACACTATAGCTTGCACAAGTAGTATTTTCTATTATCACTATCACTGATAACAAACTGAATCTTTTAGGGCAACGATTCCCACCTGATGAGCTCGCACATTGCAACAACAATTATTCGTAGGGTTTCTTATAGGGATGTCAGAAAAACATCGATGCATCGAAAATATAGATGTTTTGCTTCGATGCATCGAAAATTTTCCACTCGATGTATAAATAGTCGATGTATCGATGCCTCGATTTTTTTTTGAAAACTGACATCTCTAGTACATTAAACCGTCATTCCAGTTTTTCAATTGAACAAAAAGTAGAAGTGACTTTGACCAAAAAATTGAATTTGAGACAAGACGACTGAGAATATGTATTAGTTGTTAAATTGTTGTGTAAACTAGATTTCATGATTCGTTACTTTCGTAATTCGATCGATAACGTAAATTTACGCTATTTGTTCAAACAGAACATTCCAATCGATTGAACATCTGGCAGCTCCTCAAGCGATGGCGAATGATGTGAGTCAAAAGAAGCAGAATTTATTTGTTTTGACTTTTTCATTAGAATATTTTATAAAAGTAAAAATAGGAAATCAATTGAAAATAATTGTTTACGAACTACTAACACGGGAAAGAATTTACCCGACGTATGGTAAACTTGAGCTACTGCCCAAACAACTTAATCAGACTAAATAGATAAATATTTTCTGCAATGGGTTCACTATTTTCCAAAAGTAAAAAGCAAAGCCGTGTAACCGAACATGATAAGGCGGTGCTGGTGAGTCACATGGATTTTGATGGGGTGTAAATCCTTTTGTCTGTGCATGAGGTTCCTTTGTTGTCTTCCTTTTTCAGCGACTGAAGCAACAGCGGGATAAACTGAAGCAATATCAGAAGCGCATCGAATTACAACTTGAGAAAGACCGAGAGTTGGCTAGGAAATGTTTACAAACAGGCCGTCGAGAGTAAGTACAATGGCTAGAAATAAAAAAATCTACATCAGCAACTTTTTTAATTTTCAGTCGTGCCAAGCTTCTGCTGCGAAAGAAAAAATTCCAAGAAACTCAGCTTAGCAATGCAGATAAACAACTGGAAAACTTGGAAAAAATGACTGCCGATTTGGAATTTGCTCAGGTGGAGTTACAAGTTATAGAAGGCCTTAAACAGGGTAATGCCGCACTTAAGAAAGTACATGATTTGATGGATATCAATGAAATAGAAAAGATAATGGATGAAACAAGAGAGGGTGTAGAAAAACAACAAGAAATTGATGCTATACTCTCCGGAGCACTTAGTGCAGAAGATGAAGAAAATGTTTTGGCGGAATTGGATGCACTTGCTGCAGAAGAGGAGGTTAGTAAATTACCGGAGGTGCCGACAGAAGATTTGCCCGAGCCAGCTGCACCTGCGGAGGAAGATGCCTCTGCCTTTGCTACTGAAACTGCTGATGTGCCGACTAAAAAGCAAAAAACGGCATCAGATCACTCAAAGAAAGTGCTTGTAGAAGCGTGAATGTAAATAACAGATTTAAGTTGTGTCCATATATCAGTACACAGTCTATACATATGTATTTGTTTTTGTTTTCCTTTTATTTCTTCAACTAATACTAAGTCACTTAGTTTAAATATGCATAAAATGATTTTATAAAGAAATTTATAATGCAGAAATTTACGACTTTTTTTTGTTACGTTTCGAGAGGTGTGGAAATATGTATGGATGTAAGTAAATTATTCCAATGTTTAGGATATAATACAAAGAGAATTTAAGTTAACAGGCCACCACTTTGTATATTATCATAAGAATGTGAAATGCATTAGAAACTCCCGGGAAAACCTAATTCTCCTCGAGTAGTAATATGTAACGGGTTTAGCAATTTGGCGAAACTTGGTGATTTCACATAGTTGACATGCGCGCAAAAGTCATTATTTGTTCGTGGTTCGAAGGTGTCTCCGGTGTGATTCTAACCCGTTGCCAAGATTTGGTTTCACTTGATTTACGAATAGCATCTAGTACCGCCTGAACATATAGCCCATCCTCGAATGTTGCGGCAGCTTGCACAGGTTCCTTTACCCACGAAGCATCTTTATCAGCAAACGCTTCCTTCAATGCACCCACCATCTTGCATAAACCCTTTATGTAAGGCCGTGGCAACATAGATTCTGAAGTGGCAAAGTGCAAATCCTGAACATCAACGTAGACAGCTTCTTCTTTCAACTGTGGTGGATCTGCTTTGTGTTTGAATACAAATAAATCTCCTCCGCGTACAGCCAAATGACCTTTGCTACCACAAATTAGCACTTCTTGTGAAAATGCTTTAGCAGGCACTGTATGACTGTGTAGAGCCACAGTGACCAGTGCGCCTCCACCTGCTAATTCCATTTGAAATGTACAAAAATCTGGAGCTGAAATTTGTCGTATGCCATTTACTGCCGCAGTTGTCTTCGTATATGAACGCACTACTCCGTGTACGCGAACTGCATGTTGTTGTAACAGATAACTGACCAAATCGATCACATGACTACCAACCAAATTCAATGCTCCGCCACCCATAGCGGCATCGCACATCCAATCGAACTTCTCGGGAAACAGCGTCCCTAGTTGTACGCGTATATCGACAAGCGATATTTCATTCATCGGTCCAATAAGTTCCTCCTGTAAACATCGTTTCATGTGTGTAAAGGCAGGAAGAAAACGGAGCGAATAATTAACCAAAGTTATAAGTCGCGGATAGTACTGTGAAGCGTGCACCATTTTCAAAGCATCTGCTTGATGTAGTCCCATTGGTCGATCACAAACAACATGTTTGCCAATGCCTAATGCCTTTTTGGATATCTCTGCATGTTGAAAAGGTTGGCATACAATGAATACCAAGTCGACGTCTTTCCGAAGTAGCACATCATCGATTTTGTTTGTGAAAAATGCAATTTTCTGCGACTGTGCCACTGCTTCTGCCTCCTTCAATGGCCCCCATATGGCTTTTATATCGAAGCCTTTTTCTCGCAGTAATGGCACAAGCACCTTGGTGATTTCACCAGTTCCGAAAATTCCTACTCCCGGCAACATTGCAGACCTACGACCGTGAGTAAACAATTTTTTTCTACGCTGCAGTTGCAAAAACAATAAATAAAAACAGAACAAGTAATCAGCTGATTGAGAGATGCTTCTTCATTGTGGAGAGAAAGCAACCATTCACAATAGAAAACTTCTCTAAAGGCCGAAACCCAATTCAAGCAGGCCGGGTTGTTGGGGAAGAAGCGCAACACAATTCCTATGTTCAAAACGAATTGATCTCTAGGTTGGGATTACATATTCTCTAATTAAGGATGCCGCTGTGGTGTAGCGTGCTTCCACAAAATCTTACGAATCTGTTGCTTTAATAACGATTTAACGATTTTTATGCATAAATCTATATGGCTGGAGTTCAGGGTTACCAAATCTCATTTTTACCACAACGGCGATTTAGGCGGTTTTGCAACTGGCCGATGGGCGGTTTTGCAAAAACATCGACGATAAATGGTGGTCTGGACATACAACATTGCAAGTTGAGAAAAGCGTTGTAGAATACAATCGCCGTTCGGAGTTGGCGTGCTGTGGGTCCAACCACTTTGTGTGCCAACATCAACGCGCACGGCGCAAGGAGGAGAATCTCGGCCGAACACTAATATGTGTGTAAGATCCAAACAATTATTATTATTAGAAATCTTAACATGGGTCGAAATTTGTACGCAAACGATTTTAGAAGTTTTAGCCAGGGTTGAATAGGGTTTTATAACCCGAGTTGAAAATGGACCATTTCCGCTTGTTGGCTCTACTCGAGTTGAATACAGGGATACGCGATCGATTCACAATGCATCGGAAACATCGATATTTTTAATTCGATGCGTCGACTGAATTCGATTAATGACATCGATGTATTTTATTCGACAGAGGACAATTTTGGCGAGCCCGATTCTGATACTTGTGACCACATATTGGACGATTTTAGTCTTTGGAGTGATCATAGGCTAGTTCCCCGAAACTGGAAAACCAGTAAGACTGTAGAAAGCTTTTACGATGAGCTATCAATTTATCTGGGAAGTCCGGTAAGTCGGTCAATGGGCTGATTACAAAATGCAGTTTCGAAAATCATACAATACAGCTTACAAATACTTGACAATGGTAATAAATATAATTCGAATTTTTTACTACAAAATTTTTCAAAATTTTGATTTTTAATAGCATCAAAAAAATATTTTTTTTTTGCAGAAAAAATGGAACTATTATTTTAACTCTCGTATTGGTTTTGTATATCAATCTAAAATGATCGCATTTCAAAAATAGTCTGTTGACTAAGATTTGCCTGATAGTTTATGCTTTGCCAAATCCTTCTTCAAACGATTGCGTAAGTGCACATTCTCCTCACGCAATCGATCCACTTCATCGAGCAGTACCACATTCTCTTTGAAAAGTTTCTGATATCTCTTCACTTCATCCACCGTGGGTCGTCGATTTCTGTTAATCTTCAAAACGCTCTCAATTTGTGCGCGTTGCCGCTGGAATTCATCGCGCACTTCGGCATCCAAAGAAATGTGACGTTTGAGCTCATCATCGCTGGCATGACGTCGAAATAATTCTTTCACCTTCACCACAAGTCGCTGTGGCGAATCTACGTGCGCTGCGACATGATAGATTTCGCTGCAAATGCTTGTGATGCATTCCCGTGCGGCGCGCGAGCGGTGCCGTTCCACCTTCAACTCGGTCACATTGCTGAGGTATTTGTCCTTCAGCTCCTTGAGTTGCAATTCCAATTGTATATTGTTCTGATTCAAACCCTGCAGCTCATTCTCCATTTCGAGTATATGCTTTCGCTTGTCGTTGATTTGAAATTCACGCGGCTCTATTTGCGCCTTCAGCTCGGCGATTTTGTGCGACAGCACTTGCTTATATTTGTCCAACTCCTGATTCTTGTGCAATAGCTCCTGTATGCGTTTCTCCTTGGCGTTGATGGCATAATCGCGGTCTGAGATGTCTTTCAGCAAGTCTTCGATGGAGCGTGTTAAACGTCCAATATTCTTTTGTGATTTATTATGCTCTTCCTTCAATGTGTCCACCTCCTCGAGTAGCTTCTCGATTTCTTTGCTCAGCGTTTGATATCTCTTTTCCAAAACGCCAGATTTGCCGCGCCACAATTGTGTTGAGTTCTGTTCGTTATTCAATTTATTCTCGTATTGCAATTGCATGTCCACCATGTTGCGATCATTGTCCTCCTCCACTTCGCGACAATACTTAAAGAACTCGATCTTCTTGTCTTGCATCTCCTTCATAAGTTCGCGTATCAATTCTTTGCGTTCGTCCAGCTGCCGTTTGTAGTCCGTTTCCAGTCCCTCCACGGTATCCTGCAGTATGCCAGCCGAGGTTTTCAATCGATTCTCGTAACTCTCGCGCAGCGTTAGCATGCTTTCACGCAAATTGCTAAACTTTTGGTATTCGACCAACATGCGCTCCGAATACTGATTGGCCAAGTTGTCCAGCTGCTTCTTATGTTCATCACGTAAATCATTTATTTGTAAATTGACCTGATTCATCTCCTCGGTGTGTCTTTGCTCAGTCTCGTTATTCTTGTTCTTAAGCTCCTCGAGTGCCTGCCGGTAGCTACGATGCACCTCGGCCAGTTGTTGACCATCGAATATCTCATTCTGGTTCAGCTGATATTGAAATTCTTCGGCTTGCTGCCGCAAACGCACTTCCAAATTGGCTATCTGTTCATTCTTATCGTGCAGTATGCTACGCGGTATAAGCACCTCTTGGCTACGCATCAAATCCGCATCCATTGATGCCACCTTGCCCTCAATATTATCCATTGCCCATATGGCTAAAGTGCCATTCATTGAAACTGTCAACAGCAATGTGCCATCGTACGAGAAGAAGAGTTTGTTAATTTGGCTGGTAAAGAAGCGAAATAGCGTGCACGATGCACCACCGGCATCCATGAATGGTAACTGAATATTAAATAGATCACCATCTTCATTGCCCACAAACATAATGAGATCCGAACGGGCCAAGCACATATCTGTCAGTGGCGTGCGCACTTTGGAGGGTACGACAATTTCACGCACGATTTCTGAATTTTGAAATTCACGTAATACACCAAGGTTTGTTGCAGCATAGATGGAGAGGGGCTCGCAGAAGGTGCAGCAAACGGAACGGTACTCGGTGCCTTTTTGTACGATCTCCTGTACTCGTGAACCAGTTTCGACATCCCACTGATAGATTGCACCCTCTGCGCCCCCAGATATGAGATACTTGTCCGTGGCTGACCAGGCAATAGACAGTACTGTCCCATTGTGACCCTAAAAATGGAAGGTAAATATAGAATTACATACATATTTGTTGATTAGAAATTCGGCAGGGAGAAGTATTAATACGATTCAAGGTTCTCAATTTAATTCATAACACCTATAAAGTAACGATGAAAAAAGCCATAAAAAGATAAGAACGGATGGTTTATGAAATAGCTGGTGAATACACACGCGGATCAGATGCGTACAAAACTCTGATGGCTAAAGTAGATAGGTAGATAGATAAGATAATGAAGCACGGCGAGGGCGATGGTCCCCTGGACGGGACCAAATACCGAATGTTGCACTTAAAGGGAAAGGAAACCCTTATTCACGAACTATTTTAATGAATTTATTCAGGGAGTATTTCCGCGGATGTGGAAATAACAGAGACCAACAGTGGGCCATTTGAGGGTAGTGCACTACCCTAATATACAAAACTAAAACCTAACTCCCTTAAGAATGTCGAGAAAGCGAGTGTATGTGCTTTGCTGCTTGTTAAGCTGAAGTACTTCTTACATCTTCTCGAACGCTTTTCGAACCATTCCCTCTTGTATCCTCCTGATAATCTTTAACCCCACATGGCACACCTAGGCCTACTCAAACCATCGTGTGGAGTGTGCGAAATCTAATGTTTCTGGATTTCTACTTGGGCTATGTCTAGAAAAATCCTGAACCCATGAGCTGTCGTCTGCTTCTACATTTCTATTTTAGAAAAAATAAATTTCCTTCACTTGCTTGCTTAAGAGGAAAGTCCTTTAGAATGAGCCTACAGGTAGTGAGCGGCATGCCTAAACCCTTTCAGGACTGTGAAAGTGGTTTTTGAATTGTGTATGACCGAGTCAAGAGTAGATGTAGATATTTTTACATATGACTTTTTCTGTACGTATGTAAGTGTGTCCTATATAGCAGCAACTTCACCTCCTACCCTGCTTCCGAGTTTTGAGCCAATAAACGGATTTATGTATGCCGCAAATTTCCGCTTGGAAGAGGCCAGGAAGCGTTGGAAGTCTACCTATACACTCTGTCGTCCTTGGTTTCATACTAAAATTCGCTTTCTGCTCCATGGTAGTACATATGAAATGGCGTACGCTCAAGGATACCCAATAAGGAATACGATATATAATCGTTTTAGTTTTGTAAATGAACATCTCAAAATCGTTTGGTCTACTATTCGGATTATTCAGACCATTTTTTTACCTAATTGAGACTTTAATGACTTTGGATATTTTACCTTCGAAAGATAGCACTTACGGCTATAGTTCTCATTCCGGTAGGGTTATTCTTGGGAAGGAAGTGAAGGCGGTTTTGGTTGAGTTTATCCGGAGTAGAACCTGTTTGCTGGACTTCAGTCTACATAGTCATCGTTTAGTGGAGATCCTCAATTTAGTTTGGGCAATGGTTCTTGGTCTGATGCCTCACTCATGGTTCGGCTCAATCAGTTTGTTGAAGAAGATATTAAGAATTCTTCCGATAACGGTAGCGTCAGTCTTTACTGTATACTAGACAGAGTGCATGCCACAAATTGATCTTAACAGCTGATATATATTACCATGTCATTACATAAATAGTCATTAAGTTCATTTCCACATGGCGTTTTTCTAAATGGCATACATTTTTTGTCATTTCAATACCTAGTGGAAATTCGGCATTATGATTCAAAAATTAAAAATTTGCGTTTCATTTTTTGCTCAAGTTTATACATGTATGTATAACCTGTGACATTGTTTGAAGTTTTGAAAACTAATTTCAGCTTTACAATCAGCGATTCAAAGAAACTTTGGATATAAAATTCTATAAAAATCTCATAATCGCCATACTGAACTTTTGAAAACTGATTTCAGTTATGTAATCAGCGCGTCAAAAAGCCGTTGGAAATGAAATTTCATAAAAATTGTATAATTTTTTAGAAAATCCTCTCTCCATATTGGATCCCTAATATTGCATATTTTAAAACTGTTTCCAGTTTTAGATACAGAATTTTATAAAAACTTTAAAAATCTTTCGTCATTTTGTTTCTTTGAAAACTGATTTCGGTTTTGTTATCCACGACTCATAGAACCTTTAGACAAAAATTTTCATAAAAATCTGATGTTTTACAAATCCATCCGCCATTTTGAAGTTTTTAAAACTGATTTCAGCTTTTTAATCAGCGACTCAAAGAAACTTTGAATAAACATTTTTATAAAAGACTGACAATTTTTTAAAATCCCTCGCCATTTTGAATTTCTAAAACTGATTTCAGTTTTGTAATCAGCGACTCAAAGAACTTGCCATATTGAATTTTTGAAAACTGATTTCAGATCCTTATTCCACAATATTCTATTGAACGATTCAGCAAAGAGGTTATTAAGGATTGTTTTTTCTACATAGAAATTACTTGATCTTATGAAACGGCAAAATACGGGCACATTTGTCCCTATTGACTTTCCCAAAATGCTTAATTTTTTGATGGGTGCAAGAAAAGTTAAATTTTGTCGAACGGTGTTATATAGCCATACTTTCCACTCACCTTCAATTGCTTCAAAATTTCCAGATTATATACAGATGTAATGCTTATAACGTTGTCATAAGCAGCCGCCATAAAGTGGCCATAATTCGAGTACTTGACATCTTTGCAGCGTGGAAAGTTGTATGTTTTAACGATCTAAAAAAATGGAAAACCATTATACTAAATATATGTATTTATGTATGCCATGCATTTTCTCTCTCCACCTACATTTAGTTCATCCATAAATATCTGCGTGATGCGCAACTGATCTGAAAACCCAATGGCCGCCATCAATCCCGTTGAATTTAGCTCCACGATATTCACATCCACCTGGAATTTGCGTACCAATTCAACCTTGTCGGTCTCATAGTTCCAAATGCGTACAGTTTGATCGCGCGCTAAAATAGCAATAACAACAAAAATAGCAGCGCACTTCATTTCATAGATTGATATTTTTTTTTTTTCACATACATGCCGTCATTATAATGGGCTTCCATGAGCACACCGACATGCTAGTTATCTCCGAAAGGTGTATCCAAGCGCCCAGCGGTTGAAATTGCAACTCTTTGGCCTTCAAAGTTTCCGGCACGATCAGTATGCCAACATAGATTTGCGCATGCTTGGTGGTCGCAATGATTGTCTCTTGACGCGCACATATCGCAATATTTGTTATCTGATAAGTGTTTTCGGGTGCAAATCCAAAAGGTATAGTCAATATTGTCTTGCGCTCCAACTTGAATTTGGAGACGCGTTCAAATACGAATACCCTATTGAAAATAGCAAAAGCAAAGCCACGTTGAAATGCTGTCATGCATACTACGCGCTCATCATTGAGCTTCAGTTCGGTCGGTGTCTTATGCTCCAACTCCTTATTCAATGCATCCTGATCCCACAAAATATCGATAAGTTCAGCATCATGCGCACGCTGTCTCAGCTTTACATCGCCATTTTCAACCATAATCAGTTCATTTTGACTGGTGCCAATCAGCAGCAAATCATTGGCAATAAAGTCCATCGAAGTGGTGTAGAAATCGACTTTAACATTGTTGCTAACATTTATGCCTTTCTCAGACTTGGCCATAAAAAGTAGGATGCCATCACCAGCTACGACGACCAAAGCGTTATCTTGTGGATTGCAGGCGAAACAGTCTACACTGCCGCGTGCCGTGCTCGCAGTGGGACGTGATTCGATAACGGTGCCAGTCTTGTCCAACATTAGCATGTATAATGCTTCCTCTGGCGGTTTGGTCAGCACCACTATTGTTTTGCCATCGGCGGTGAATGACATGAAAGATGCTTTGGCAGTGGCATGGGGAAATGGTAGATTGCGTCGCTTTTTGAGTGTTGCCAAGTCGTAAATGGAGATCGATGAACCGCTGTGGGAAGGTAAGAAAAAGCATTTATTAAGTTTTGATTGAGTGCTTGGGTATTGCAGAGGGAAAAGTGTAAATTTCGCAAAAGTTCATCAAGATGAATTAGCGCAAATTCCTCCATTTTTCAGAAAACACAAAAAAATTTTTCTCAATTTGGAATTATAATCTTAAGTAGACGTGACTTCATTGTGTTTTTTTGAAGGAAAATACAAGAAATTGTTGCTTCGTCTTTTGCTGGAAAAGAATAACCTCAAAAGTTAAGCATTTTCAGTTAGTATGCTTTCGAAGAATGTCTAGAAGAATTCGCGTTGATTTTTGGTTTTTTTTTTTTTCTTACGGTGTTATGCATTTTCTTCTATACAAAGTAGATATGTTCGAAATTTTTTTTTTATGAAAGCAATTCCCCTTTGGAAAAAATTCTGAAAAATTAACGCAAATTCTTGGCCGCTTAAAAATTGCACACCCGGATTTTTATAGTTTTTGAGTATGACCATTTTCTAGTATGACCATTTTCTGAAATTTTGCATGAGGTTTCAAACTTGAGTTACTTCGGTTCTGGCGTGGTGTAAACTATATTTTTGTAAAAAATAAATTTCCTATACACAAAATAACAAACATACAAAAATAAATTTCAATACAAGTTTTGGATATCGAAATAAATATGGATACGTATATCGATATTGTCATCGGTGTGCTTGACGTTAAATGTTATCCATATGCACCTATCAGAGCTGCTTAAATTTTAATCCGTTTCCATAAATATTTTGCTGTTATCGATTTTTTTTTAATATCTTCATAGTAACCGTTAGATATTGCAAAATATTTCGGCATACATACAGTCAGTCAATAAAGTTTAGGTACAGCGAATTTTTTAGAATACGCGGAACTATTTTTTAAATATTTTATTTTTCGATAATTTTTTATAAAAATATGGTTTATTCTACAACAATAAACCCAAAAATCAGAGTTCCAAACCTTGTGCAAAATTAAATAAAATTCTGCAAAATTTCATTTAAATATTGCACTTTTTATTTACGCTCTCTAAAAAAAGGTGAGTATGCAGTTTTTTAGCCCATTCAATTTTGGTATAACAAAGTGCAAGTTTGAGGTAGCTAGGACTTACCATTGATTTTTAGCAATTTTTTTTGTTGAAGGTGTCGCTCATTTTCTCCATATAAAATAATGTTTGATACCTTCGCGACACCCTCAACCAAACAATTTCCCAAAAATCAATGGTAAGTCCACTTTATTCCAATCTTTGGCAGCAAATGTCAGTTACGTGGTTTTGCAGAACGACGATACGCGGTTTTATATTTTAAGAGACGATATGTATGTAAATAAGTTTGAAAAGTTTAAGAGGTAACTAATTATTAATATTATTTTTTGATTAAATTGCATATTTTAAATAAATTTGTGTTTAGTTGGATAAGCGATCACCCGTTTATAGAGTACCAAGAATAGGTACATACCACGACGAAAATGTAGACTTCTCTATTTTAAGCAAACAAAGCGTGGATATAGCAATTTTTATGCCTAAGACCGAAGATATTTCTAGTTCTCCAGAATAGTAATGGACAAACACAAAGCCGAACCGTAACTTTTTTAACTACCCCATTCCTGAAAGCCTATTTGACACAGCTATTAACATTTGAGAAACAATGCCAAAACGCCTCTCAGGTGATATAGCGAACAATGAACACTTCTTCATTTTTTTACAAATAGTTAAGTAATAAATATTTTTATACAATTTTGTCTTACACTTTAGGACATGTTTCAATTACCGCCAACAGCTTTCGCTGCACACTCATCGCTATATACTCTGGATATGTATCCTCAGGTAATCTGCATAAGAAATGTTAAATATCGAATTACAAAACGCACTTATTTTTCATTTGCAAATCCATCCCGTACCTAAGGAATCGCTGCTTATTGCTGACATAGTCGTGAAATGCCAGCACTCCTTCCACAGGATAAATCACCTCTTGATATAGATTAAAATGTATATTACCAATAACATCCGTACGCAAACCATAAATATTTTTCGGTCGTATATTAACAGCTGAAGTTGTTAATGCATCGGCCGCACCAGTGGGATCCATGGCGCGCGTATTTGTGTAAAACTAAATCAAAACTGCACAAAATTCCTTAACATAAATTCAACGAATTCCTTCACTCCCACCAAAATAACCTCGCATTGATCGATCAAACACTAGGAAAATCACCAGCGGTTTCGTCGCATACAATGCAAATAAAACGTTTATGAAATTAGCACACAAAATATGACAAGAAAAATATGTACTTATGTATATATTTATGCCCGTATTGGGAAAATGTATTTTGTAAATTCTAAACTATCAGCTGTTGCGATACAAGTGGCGTAGTCAACAAATAAAAGAAAAGTGTTTGAAAAAGTAATAAATAAATAAATACAAATAACTCACTCATAAGCAAGTGTAGCAGCGAGAATAGAGTTATGCGTTTGCCGGGTCGTATGAGTAACATAAAACTACGCTCTTTCTAAGCGGTCGCCATGGAGGTCGGTGCGTATGAGCAACATGTAATTTATACATATGCAACGCTTAAGTTCATTTGGTTAATATATGTAGTATGGAAATGGCATATCTCATATCGTCGCTGAAATGCAAAAAAGCCAAAACTAACTAAAATTTTGTATTGCCATAAAACGATATAGAGACTTATAATTCGCATCATAATAAAACGAAAAGGATTTTCACTACTGCTTGAAAGGCAGTCGGTCTTGATGGCTCATGTTCGTATGATATTTCGAGGGCATGCGGACGCTCTTGAATCTCAGGTCGTTAAGAAGACTTCCCAAGTAGGGCAGGACTAAGAATCATATCAGATCTATTTTTCAGTTTGGACTGGTTGGTTGCTAGTGAGATTAATTTGGATACCAGGGGAGTATCTATGACTGCATGCAGACTACTCTTGGAAAGATGGGCCTCATATCAGGTCAGCACATGCTGGCCGAAAACCAAAATGTAGGGACTGAAGAATGGGATTCTGCCTGGGTTATTCAAGTAGGATCCAAAACGTAAATCTATTCGATGAAGTATATAAAGTCGAAAAAAGTTCAAGAAATAACAATTAGTTATTTACTAAAAATAAATGAATAAATAAATAGCATATATATTTATGCTAAGTTAAACATTTTATTTTTACTGAAAATATTTTTAACTGAGCTGCCACCTATTTAAAACAAATATGTACATTAGACTGTTCCACCTTTCAAGCAAACAAAAAGCAAAAAAAAGTTCGCTGAACCCCCCTTATTCTAAACTATTTTTGAATTTGATTTGCAGGGCGGCAAATCAGCTGCGCTTGATTGCAGTAGGTTGACTAAGGAAATGAATTAGCAATAAGAGTTTACGGGGTGTGCATAGCTCAGTGGTTAGCGCTTCTGCCTTTGTACAACGATCCCTGCTGAAGTCTGATGAGAAGATATGGTGATCTCCGAAATATCAGCTATAACTTTTACCGCTTAGATTTTGTTGCTTTTTCCACTTTTTCCTAAGAAACATAATCGTGATACAAAGCTCATTAACAATAGGCGTGTTCCGGACAAACTTTGCTCCAAAAAACTAAGTAAAACTAGACTACAGCAAATGACACGCATTTTCATTACAGTTTACAGTATTTTTAGAATTACTTGTGCAATTAAAGATGCATTTGCCATGTTCTATGTTCTGTGCAATGCAAAAAAACTCGAGCAAACTGCATTGCTGCGCGCATCTTATAGTTTATTTATAACATACGCGCGGCTCATTTCGTCAAAAAAATAAAAACAATTGAATACTGCGAACAGCAGAATGCGAACGAAATAATGAAGAATGTTGAAGAGTCATTGAAACTTCGGCCAACGCATAAACTCAAACAAAAGATGTCAAAAAATATGCGAAAATAGATTTACATGTGTATATACGTAGATACCCTGCAGCAATAAGGCGGCCAATTTTCCGTTAAGGACTAGTACTTCAATGGTTAAAATTTGACTGGTCAGAATTGGACATTTCCTTGCATCGAAAATGTCAGCCTTCGACCAGTCCGCAAGGAACCGACCTAGAGATAAAGGAAAAGTACAGTTTGGCAGTGACAGGGTGGTGTTGTCTTGCAATTCAATAAAAAAAAATTTAAAGAACACCACCCTGTAAATGTCCCAATCGCTTGGTCTGGCCTTGATACAAAGTGAACATTTGAACACACATTTACATGCGTGGCTGTAGCTCAGTGCGTAGAGATGCTTGCAACTATTTGTGAGCTTTCAGGAGGGTCCGGGTTGAAATGCCGTCAGAAGCAACATGGTTATAAAATGGTGAAATTTGTTTTTTTTTTGTGTTTATGAAAAAGCATCTGCGAAGTGCAGAACGCAATCTTACTCCAACGAAAAAAATCTCCAAAATTGGACTAGTCTAGGACTATCTTACGGGCAGTGTTGATTGGGCCGGTCCTTTTCCAATAACACGCCAATGCTAAAAATGGCAGTTGAAACCATTGGCAGGGGAATTATGAGGGACTAGTGCTGGTAACAATAAGGACTATCTGAGGGCTAACCTAGGGTGAGTCTGAATTGGCTGCAGGGTATGTACGTACACATATATAAGCACATCTTTTCCTATTTATAAGCAATAGCGAGCAATGCACTCAAACTGACTTCCAAGCTAAGAAAATAGCAGCAGTGTCAGTTTTTTTTTGCGCTCTGTTTATGTGCAACCAGCCATGTTAAGGTAAGGACCGCGACACAGACTTTCGTAATCCAATGCCAACACAGCTGTTGGCTTCTTAACTTCGTTTGTCGTCTTCGTTGCATGTTGAGTATCTTTTGTGTAATTTAGTTTATTACATACATACATACATACATACAGTAGAACTGAGTGAATAATTGAGTTCGCTTGAAAAGCTCTTTGGCTGGCTGAGTGCATGCCAAACTAAAAGTATAAGGAATTAGAAGAGTAGCAGAGGCAACAAGACGATAGCAGAA